AACTATTATAATAATTAACTTAAACAAATATTTATTTGTATATCTTATCTATGTGTGACACTTGTGTAACGATAAATACAAAAACTAAAGTCATTCTATGATTACTAATTCCATACAACACAAATTATATCATAGATCAATATTGTAAAATTATAAATTACCACAATAGTTGGTGATATAAAAAGATAGTTGTTATTATCAATGTTTACTGTTATTCTAATAACAACAACCGCACTTATCAGTTGTATGTCTGCTTGAATTACTTGTTAAAAATATGGAAACGTTCAAAAACATTTCAGATAAGATATTTTTGTACCCTGCATTTAAACTTTGAAAGAATACAAATTTTGTTTTGCGAAAATATTTGTTGGTGTGATTTTCCGAATAGGAATCTCTTTTATATTTATTATAAAGTATGGTTTTATCAGGGAAAATATATATGCCGGCTTAAATAGTGTAAATGTCCAGACTGTAACAGCATATTCTTCCTTATCGTGATCCTTTTCATTAAAGTTTTCTCCGTGATGAGTCTTGGAAAGTTGTATTTTTTTTCTTCTCAAAAAATATGTCGTAGATAACTTGTTTTTGAAAACAACTCAAATTTCAAAGGCTTTTATCCACCTCATTTTACTGGAAGATTAATTTTTTGTGGTTTTCAATCTTATTCTACAATGATACCTGTCCTAAGTGACGAAATAGCCACAGGCATCCTCTATGGGTTGCCTGAGATTATTTCGTCACTTAGGACCTAATATAGCCACTAATAAGGCCAGTGTTAGCATACGGATCAGAAACGTGGTCACTCACACAGAACGACCAAGAACTGCTTAGACGTTTCAAAAGAAAAATTCTAAGGAAAATATATGGAGGAGTCCAAGAACAGGGTTTGTGGCATAGGCGCTACAAATTTAAATTATACGGAAGTTTTAGGAAACCTGACGTTGTAAAATTTATTAAATTAGCACGCCTTCGATAGATAGGACATGTAATTAGGCGAGATGAAGATGCCACGATCAGAAAAATTTTCGACCGAAGAGGACCAGTGAGAACACGATACAGATGAAGACCAAAACTTAGGTATTGAGATAGCATAGAGGATGATCTAAAATACATCGGAGTTAAAGCATGAAGAAGAGAAGAGAGACAGGGGCGAATGGAAGATTATTCTGAAGAAGGCTCTGGCTCATGACGAGCTGTAATGCCACTGATGATGATGATCCTCTATGGGTTGCAAAACTAGACCAAAAATTCTGAAAAGTACGATTCGTATATGACATAGGGTAGATATCTGGGATACCATTCCTTGAAGAGACTTTAGAAAGTTAAAACAAGCATCCCTATCATGTTTAATTACCTGTTGTTGACGAATATGCTGGGGAATTTGGACAAGGTGACAGAAACGAAAGAGGGGATAGTCTTGTGGATTTTGTCAAAATGAACATTTTGCACTAATGAGCACAATGTTCCAACTGCCCGACAGAAGATTATACACTTAGAGATCTCCTGCAGACAACAGAGACCGCATGGTCAGAAATCAAATAGATTATATAGTAGTCAAAAATAGGTACTAAAACTCAATTAAAGCAGTAAAAGTATACCCAGCACCAGATGTCAACTTAGACCATAACCCGCTGATAGCTAGAATGCCCGTGAAACTCAAAAAGTTTGTAACACCTACAAATAAACCAAAGTTTCATTATAAAAAAGTAAGAAAAAGTGATAAATACATCAAAAAGTGATCCAAGAAGTCAACTTGAATCTAACAAAAGTAGGAGAAGAAATCTTAACATCAGAAAATGTCAATGAAAAGTGGAGTAATATTCAGAAGGCATTACTAAAGTCTGCCGAAGAAAATTTAAAGCCTAAAAAGACAAATAAAAAAGACGTTTTTAAAAACTTGGGCAAATGAAAACAATAACCAAGATAGAAAAATAAGCACACGCATTGAAACTGAAAGAAAACATTTATAAAAATGAAAACATTGTTTATTAATTGAGACCTTCCTCTGGTGCTGAGGATAAGAGCCTTAAGATGCTACGTGTTGTCGAAGAAGAAGACGAAAAAATGGCTGGTAAGGAAGATTAAATTATTACGTAGGGGTATTAGTCAAATCACGGAGGAATTTGGGGAATAACAAGTAGAAATGGAATCAGATTAGCTAAAGAAATAAGATTAGCTCTGTAAGACGCTCTTCTTCTTCTTCTTTCAGTACCCTGTTCGATTATAGAACCTTGATACCATTCTAGGAGATTTCGGAGCCAGGATGTTCTATGTCGGCCTGAGCCTCTCACAGGGTCTCTCACCGTAAGACGTTCAAAGAAAACACTACAGTACTACTTCCTACGAACTCTTCACTACTCAAGAGGTCTTAACTATTATCAAAGATCTTCAAAACTGGAAATCTTCCGAACCAGACGAAATATCTGGTTGAAGGAGTTCTGGAGTGTTCGTAAGTACTTATCAATATTAATAATGCTATTTCTAACCTGTACGAACTATTATCATTTCTGAGCCAAGGGACAACTTATCTAATACCAAAGGACAAAATAACACCCAAGATCCATCCAAAGATCGCCCAATTACTTTTTTTAACACTGTGCTCTAAACAGTATCAAAGAGCCTCAACAGAATGGATGCACCGAAGGTTCCATGGGATGCAGAAATAAATTATCATTAACATATATCAAAAAATGAAACCTCGCCACTGTTTTGTGGACTTTTTCTTTATTTTTCTTCTTCTTCTATTACCAATTCCAGACGATTCTTTTGAAATCTACAAAATTTAAGTCTAAAATGTATGGGAGTCTTGAGGTCAACAAAAGAAAGAGACATATATTGCTAGACCCAGACTTGAAAGATATATGAATTATAAGAGCAAAGATGCATCCATCAAAAATGGCATAAATAGATTAATGCACTAATGACTCGATCAAAATCAAAAGTAAACAGCAAAAGTTATCAAACTATATAAAAGACACAATCAATTTTGAAAGATATTTTATTTCACTTTAGTAAAATCAATTCAACATAGAGAAATTATCATACCAAATAAAAAAACTGGTCTTGCAAACGATTCCCGAGCTGATTCGCTACTTTGGAACGGATTCAATCGACCATCTCTACCGCCTCGTTTTACGAAAAATTCTTTTTATGATATCAAACTCTAGTTAACATTACTAAGTTACCAAAGTAGCTATTTCATACTATAACGTGCGATATATATGTCCCTACATGGTTTATTTAATTAAGGCGAAATATAACTCAAGCCAGCAATTAATTTGGCGTTTAATTGCACCTTCAAGTGCAGCATTTATACAATTAATGGATTAACATTAAATTGAAAATTTACGATCGCGATTAGGTAGTTTGTTTCTTGTTTTATGGCTGCCTTGTCAAAATATTTGTATTTATGGAAGATTCTGATTAAAGTAATCAGTAATGTGTATTGTTAAATTTTTGGTGTAAATTAACTTTTGATAAAATAAAAACTATAATTTTATGAATATTTTTTAATAGTGCAACAGGATTCTCGGTTCGAGGCTTTGTACACAATTTCTATGCTTCTTTTTTTAACTCTGGCACTAATTTTTCAATACTTTATGTTCTTTAAGATCCTGTTTCAATTAAGGTATCTTCAGTTTAATTCTACTATTTTTTATTTAAAAATAGTTGGCCTCCTCTCTTTCTTAATCTGTTTTTTATTTCTTCCTCTGTCTTTAATTACTTTCTCTTTCTGTCACATAGAATTAATATTCGCCCTCTTTCTTTGTATTTTGTGTTGACATCACACAATATACACAACTAGCCCATCATACGAAGCAATAAGTATCACTTATCAATTGTTAAGCTTTGGCAGGATTAATTATGGTATTTCTTTTTTATTCTAAATAAATATATCTAATATAATATTTCTAAGAAATATATTTGCTATCAACTGAGAACTCAGGTTTAATCCCTATTTTAAGACAAGACGAACTCACCCTTGAGATACTGAGCTAGGCAAGGTATAGACAATAAGCTCCCATGGTTGATTGAGGTATTATTTTTATAATAGTACTTCAATTCTCTTTGGTAGTCTTACACATTGTTTGGTAATCTTATCGTTACACATTGGCGCCCAACAGGAACAGACTTAACAGATAAAGTTGAAGATTGAGAATAATAATAAGAGTTTTTAACACCTTTCAACAGACATCTATTGATTTGCTTCAATTCGGTTATGGCAAACTTGAGCTTTCGATTTACTACAAAACTACATCTAAGTCCACGTCTTTTTCCTTGTGCTGACCACATACCAGGAAATTTTTCATCTACAGTTTGCCCGATCCCGTCCATCTTATCACCTGTATAGACGATACTTCCGTGTTATATTTTTAGAGCTGTTTTATAGCATGTCCATTTATTTTGGTTTGTACTGTCATTTCCTATTCCGAAGCACTGGTACCTATATAATTCCTGGCACCAATTTTTGGCCTCATATGCAAGTTGCTAGCCTACAGCCCAACTTCCTATCTGAAGGCTAGCCTTTTTTATCAAAGATTGTTCCCTTAGTTAGGATATACAAGACGAACCTAAGTATAAAATTTTCCTCTATATAGGACATTTCCTCTACGATTTTTTCTTTAACAAAAAAAAAACGGTACGAAAAAATAAAAAGAAGAAGATATATTAACCACAAGATTAAGATTCTTTATTATACCAAGAAGAAAGTATACAGTAACATTCAAAATTCCAGGATTTTTCCTGAAATAGATATCACATGACAAAAACGACAGAATTTGAATAGAAATCTGACGGGAGTACATAAGTGGTGTCTGCATTTTGGTAACTAATTATTGTTTTGGTTAAAACTTAGTGTCTTCTTTACTTATGAGAAAATAAAAGAAAACAAAACAAAATGAAAACAATATACTAAAAGAATGGATTAAAATCGATTAACCAAATACAGTGAAGTTGTGTACACTAACAATATATACATATAATAAACAACTAGTTGTGTTCTAGGTTATATTTTACTTCAAACTCAGACCAAGGTATAAAAATATGTTAAATTGTTCACCTACATATCAAATACCGACTCCCACCACAACTCTGGCTTGTCGTATCCCAAACTTTCGGGAAAATCACACCCCAACTCCGCTACTGTTGGTCCTACTTCTTGAAGAATGTATGGCCAAATAGAATCAACGTTATTGCCGCACTTGTTCCTTACCATCTCTAAAAATCTCACAGAAAGAGCATAGTCGTTCAAGCGCCTACAAGCGTGCAGTCCGGCGATGATGATTCTCGGCTCGGGAACAGAGTCGTAGGCTGTTAAATCGTTCATAGCTTGGCGCACGTCCCAACCATCAGAGTCTTCTCGGCCGAAGATGCACTCGTATCGCGCTATCATATCCTTGACTGATTCGTGTTGGACTGCTAGGTAGCTTATAGGACGCATATCGTTCTTGAAAAATATGGGTTGTATTCTACCACAGCTCTTTACCACTCGTGCTACTCTTCCAAGTAAAGACATATTGATATGATCAAATATGATCAGATTTTTAATATTGACAGTATTTGAGAGTACTTAATATTGACAATGTCTGATGAAAAAGTTTTGACGTAAATGTCACTTTGACAATACTAATTTGACAAATATTCTGAACATGTTTTAAAAACAGTCTTTTAATATGTTCAGTAAAGTGAAAGGTACAAAAATACGAAACACCTCTTTTATTAGCAATAATATAGTAATAAAACCTATTAGTAATAAAAGTAATAAAACATATTAAAGATGATATTATTATTAGCAAAATACTTATGATGAAAAACTTGCCAAATACACTAAGTAATGATGAAAATTTCTGTCCACAAGGTGAATCATCAGTCCATAAAAAGCAAGTTGCATATGAAATAATGATCATAAAGGGTACATGGCACAAAATTTCCTCTCAAATAAAAATAGAAATAGCTCAATTGCTTACAGTTTTTTTCGCAGATATTTGCCTTAATATTCGGTATAGATAGCTCAGCGGGCTGTGCGGCTGCCTCTCATTCGCTTCACTGTCGAATGGTTTAGTGGATGTGGGTCGAGCCCAGCTCGGTGAACGGAAAACAAAAAGTCTAACGCAGCAGTTTAAAATTCTAGATGAATCTGCGGCTTAGACTAGGATATGCTGGGATCTGATCGGCCTATGGTGGAGCAGTACGGCAAGAGATAAGGGCTTGCGGCTCGGTGATACTCCTCCATAGATCCCTACCGGACGGGCGTAACGCCTAAAAAAAACCGGATATATATATATATATATATATATATATAAAGTAAATAAGTTACGTCAATCTTCGTCTAGGCCTAAATCTACTCAGTTTTATATCAGGCTTTCTTCATGCAAAATTTTTAACTTGTTTCTCATGTTTTATTCATCCCATAATATCCTAATTATTATTTCAGTTATCTTCAGTGTCCTTACAAATGACTTCTTAATGACAGCGTCTTCAATTATTGCAGATTCTGTGAAAATCTTATACAAATCGTTGTTAGTCCTTCTTTCTCTTCCATATTTCGTCCATTACCCATACACAGGCTTTAGCTCCATACAGAACAGTTGGTCTCAAAACTGTTTTGTTTATTCGTTCCTTAGAACCCTTGACACAAATTTAGATTTTAATTTAAGCACAATTCATCAAAACAGGTTTTTGCAACTACCACTGCAGAAGTGAAAAACTTTGTATCTAGCCGACTGTCTGAAGAAGTAGGCCATATAGAAATAACGTTGCAACAGTCTATTGATACCAATTTATTTAAGTTGCACCGCCTCTATTACCACTACGCCGAACTTTCGATATCTCTCTGATCTTCAAGGCTTTCGAGTCCCTAGACACTACGACACTGATCAATAATCGATGCACTGCTAGTTGCCTCTTTCTTCTTCTTCTTCTTTAAGTGCCGTCTCCCAATTGGAGGTAGGATATCATCATCACTATCTTTACTCTATCTACTGCTGCTCTGAAGAGTTCAATAGAACTGCATTTAAACCAGTACCTTAAATTCTTCATCCATGACACTCCTCTTCTTATCTTTTCCTGTATTATCAGCCTTAGTAGTTCATATCGCTGTACCCTCATTACGTCTCCCAGATATTGTAACTTTCTTATTTTTATTGTGTTTATTATTTCGCATTCTTTGACCATAATCTCGCAATACTTCCGTGTTAGTTTCCTTCTTTGTCCATGCTATATCAAGTCCATATTACAGTATGGAAGACACGTAGCATCTCAGTGCTCTTACTCTCAGTTCTAATCTAAGGTCTTTTTTGCAGAGAATTATTTTTACAAACGCATTTCTTGCTATTTCTATCCTGGCACTTATTTCGGTTGTTTGATCATTATTGTCTGAAATCCAGGTTCGTAGATATTTGTACTTATCAACCCTTTCTATCGGTACATTTCTAAAATGTGTGTTTGTTGGTATATTGGTTTTCCTTGTTATTATCATGTATTTGGTCTTTTTTATATTCATTTTTAGTCCATATTTTTCACAGAAACTGTTTGTTTTGTTTAGCAGTAATTGGAGTTGTTCAGCATAGCTTGCCATAATCACGGTGTCATCTGCTCTTATATTGTTAATAGATCTTTCATTAATTATTATTTCTTCACTTTGAGATAGTAATGCTTCTTCAAAAATGGCTTCACTATATACATTCAATAGTAATGAGGACATAATACATCCCTGCCTAACTCCTCTCCTGATCTCAATTTCTGGACTGGGTTCGTTATCTATTACGATTTGTGCTCTTTGATTCCAGTAGAGGTTTTTTATTATTCGTAAGTCTCTATGATCTATGTTTTTTGTCTTTAGAATTTGGACTAATTTTTCATGTCTTACTTTGTCAAATTCTTTTTCAAAATCAACGTAACAAATATACACATCAACATTTATATCCAGGCATCTTTGGCCTAACACATTAAAAGCAAATAGCGCTTCTCTGGTTCCTTGTGCGTTTCTGAACCCAAACTGACTATTATCTATACCTTCTTCCAGTTTTTTATTTATATGACCATGTATTATTTTCAAAAATAATTTGAGAATGTGACTTATTAGTAATATTGTTCTGTATTCACTGCAATATTTAGCGTTTGTATTTTTAGGGATAGCCCAAAAGGTGGAGAATAACCAGTGTTTAGGTATGTGTCTTGTTTTGTATACTAAGTTAAATAAGTCTACTATAATGTCTAAGGTTTCATCATTTATGCATTTTAATGATTTTCCATTTTTAGGACAAGAAGGTGCCCTTCCATTTACCGACTCTTCCACCAGCAGCTGTTGATCAGTAAGTGGGGGATTGCTTACATCGGCATTCACTAGTTGCCTCTTCCTAGTTGTACCATAATTATCATCAGTATATCCCAGATACTAGTGGCTTGCAGTTGTCAGTGAACTATTTCTATTTCTACTGGATAACTTTTTTTAATAAAAAGGTACAAATTGCTGTTAGCATACACTTGTATTGTAGTAATTTTTGACGTTTCAAATGTATATATGTTTTTGGAATAAAAATAAATCCAAAAAAAGCAGCGAAAATTGAAAATTTCCCGAAGAAAGAAAGAAGAATAAAATCAAGTGAGGTTTTTAACATAGGCGAGATAGGGGTAGATGGAAATGAAACCTAGATATCTAACAGCAATTAAAAATTTTTATAAAAAAAATACCATCCCTTGTTTCTTACTATTTCTTTTATCTAGACTTTTTTGTCATTTGTTTCCATTTCGAATTTAACTTTTTGATTTTCCTTTCCCTTGTAAATTTTTTCCGCACAATTTTTTATACTTTAATAGCTGACAGAAAGTTTTTTGCCATACAGTTTTTTGTAAAATTTTAAAAATAGGTACACAATGTATAACCTTTCTGTTCGAGATATTAAAAAATCGTTTGATTGCTCATTTTTATAGCTAGTAAAATTTTTCATAATCTGCGGTTTTTCAATTAAATCCGCGTTTGTTCACTGGTTAACTAGACTTAAAACAACACGAATGGAGGGCAGATAAACCACTGAACCGTTTGTGCAATAGAATTATGATATCTTTCATTAATAAAGCCGAAATGCATCAATTATATTGAGTAACCGATTGACCGACCAATTCACTGGCTGATATATGCGTTGTTTGCGTTTCTGTCACTGACAGGACCGTCTTCATAAAGGGGTTTGATATTTCAATGCCCTTTGATGTGGTTTATAAAAGATTACATTGCGATAGCAACATCCGATAAATTATCACCTATGGAATGGACGGTTGTTATTCAAGCGAAGCTTATATACTGGAATTCTATTAATTTTTCTCTATATAAAATATAGAACGTCACAACACAAAATAGTGGAAGAGTGAATTTACTCAAAATAGGGCAATCCCTTATAAAACATGTAATCATTTCATTTAATTAGCTACACGAAATGAATAGTTGGAAGAGTCCATTTTTTCGATGAGGAGTGTCCGTATACAACATGTCAACATTTCAGTATGTAAATGACATATTTATCTAGTATTAACTACTTGTAATTCTGAAGATGTGTTTGGCAGATAACCAAGGCAAACCACTGTTAACTGTGGAAGAAAAACTAGACACTTGGAAGAATTATGGGGAAGTAACTTTTGCAGATGAAAGGCAGAATACAATTGAAAACATTGAATGCCAAACAGGACCTACGATTACCATTGAAGTTACGTTAGCTCTTAAAAGAACTAAAGATGGTAAAGCGGTAGGGCCTGACGAGTTTTGTGCAGAATTCCTAAAACTTATGGATACACAGGGAATAAAATGGATAACAACTGTATTCAACAACATATATGTAACTGAAAAAATACCCCAAAGCTGGTTAAAGTCGACTTTCGTGACCATACCAAAAAAAGTAAATGCCAAGACATGCGAAGACAACACAACAATTAGCCTAATGACCCACTTACTTAAAACGTTCTTGAAAGTGATACACGGCATAATATATAAAAAATGCGAAGAACAAGTATCATGGACGCGCTTTCCAAAGATGCAGGGATAATAATTGTGATGTGTATACTTGTTTTATCAACCACAAAAAGGCATTTGATAGAGTAAAGCATGATAAACATCTTGAAAGAAGTGGGGTTAGATGATAGGGACTTGAAAATCGTCTATAATTTATATTACAACCAAACACCCAATATTAAAGTGGCTGACCAATTGACAGAGGCAGTCTCCATAGATAGAGGAGTAAGGCAAGGATGCATTCTGTCCCCGGCGTTATTTAATATATACTCTGAATATATCTTCGAGCAAGAGCTGGGAGAACTACAAGAAGGCGTATTAGTCAACGGAATGCGTCTAAACAACATTAGATATGCCGACGACGCAGTAGTTTTTGCAGATAATCTGGACGGTTTGCAATATCGCGTATATCAGATATAAGTAGAGAACACAGACTTGATCTTAATACGAAGAAAACAAAGTACATGGTAGTCAGTAACCGTGAAATATTAAATACACAGCTTTTGGTTAACCAACATCCAATTGACAGAGTGGACAGCTACACATACCTTGGTACCAACATTAACAGCCAATGGGATCACTCCAGTGAAATAAAAC